CTTACAATCTGTTTCACCTTGTATTTAGCTGTGACAGCCTGGATATGTCTGCACTTCAAGCGGACTTGGGTTGTGGAGCTATAAAATTGCCGTGTAGACATTTGGGCTCATGCTGAGCCATCCAGGGTCCCAAAGCATGGGTGTTTTATTGCAGTGTAGACATATCCTCTGAGTACATTTTCTAGACCCGAGGAAGAGCTCTATGTAAGCTCAGAAGCTTCTCTCTTTCGCCAACAGAAGTTGGTCCTATAAAAGATATTACCTCACCCACCTTGTCTGTTTAAGTGAAATAAGTGAGTTTTTCTAAGGCCTGGTCCACACTAACCCCCCACTTCGAACTAAGGTACGCAAATTCAGCTACGTTAATAACGTAGCTGAATTCAAAGTACCTTAGTTCGAACTTACCGCGGGTCCAGACGCGGCAGGCAGGCTCCCCTATCAATGCCGCGTACTCCTCTCACTGAGCTGGAGTACCGGCGTCGACGGTGAGCACTTCCGGGATCGATCTGGGATCGATTTATCGCGTCTAGATAAGACGCGATAAATCGATCCCAGAAGATCGATTGCTTACCACCGGACCCGGAGGTAAGTGTAGACCTACCCTAAGATTATTAGGTTCTAAGGGTAACCCACAATTTCCCTGGCAATTTTTTGGCAATCATTAAGAGTTTCAGAACATTATGTATCAATCATTTGGTCAGAATTTATGTCTGAATTAATTGTTTTTATTAGAAACAAATCTAAATCAGACTTCTTTGTATTAAATTTGGTGGTCTGCTATTATGCAGCAGTAGTCATTAAAGTAGGTAGGTTGGTTTCAGTTACAATACGTCACAAACGATCAGTGCTAGAAATAGGTGTGCCATAGCATTGAGGGGAGGATGGGAGTGCCTTTCTTTCCAAGGGATAGACACTTGTTTCTAACTATGGTAGTTGCAAAGACTCAGAACTGAAATAATATGTTTAATGGGGATTAGTTCAATATTAATTGAATAATATGGATGTTAGCCATAAGGAATCATCCATATTTTATGAAAGTTCAGGGGAGTTTGGATCCATGAATTTGGCTCAACCCATTATAGTGGTAAGGAGATAGGGACAAGTTGCAAAATTCTAACCAAGAGCCAGACATTGATCAGAACATCACCAAATTCAGGGTTTTTCACATACAGAGTTTTAGGTTGGGCCCATCACTAACATATAATACCGATTTTACATGCACATCCCTACAAAGCACTGAGTACTGATTTTCTACTTTTTCACTGTATATCTTTGTGTTTTCCATAGGTTACCAAGATGCTGGCTGTGGTTGTGATCCTGTTTGCATTTTTATGGATGCCCTATAGGACACTGGTTGTTGTAAACTCCTTTCTCTCCAACCCTTTCCAAGAAAATTGGTTCCTATTATTTTGTAGAATCTGCATTTATCTAAATAGTGCCATCAACCCCGTGATTTACAATCTCATGTCCCAGAAATTCAGAGCATCCTTCAAGAAACTCTGCAATTGCCAGCAGAAAAAGTCAGAGAAACCTGCCAGTTACAGTGTGGCCCTAAACTACAGTGTCATCAAGGAGTCTGATCACTTCAGCACTGAACTAGAAGACATTACTGTCACCAATACCTATCTGTCCTCTACAAAAGTGTCCTTTGATGATACCTGTTTATCCTCTGAGGTAACATTTAGCAGAAATTAATACATTGTGGATATTTAGTATATAAGGAACCAAATCACAAAAACCCTCATCTGGTGTAAATCAGCACAACTCCATTTACTTCAATGGAGCTACACTAATTTATACCAGCTGAGTATCTGGGCCCAAAAAATTTCTGTGAAGATATACAAGGAGAATTGAAAACACATTTGCACCTGCAGACAGCAGAAAGATAGAATACTTTACCCTAGTCCATTAGCAGAAAGTATTCTTTACCTTTAAGAACTATTCTGAATGTTCTTTTTGCAGATTTAAAACTAAAATTCACATTAAAAGTTATGAAATATGCAAATATTTTGCAGTCCAAAATTTCACCTATTGTTCCATTTTGTGAATTTACCATTGATGGCTTCCTCAACTACTTTCTCATTTTTTGAGGCATTTTTCCTGAATTTTTGCAGTTGTTTGATACATTTCACAAATTTCTTCTCAGATATCATGAAACTTCCTAATTTTGTTAAGCAAAAAAAAATTTTGATAAAAATTGCTCTTGCTAAGAGTTGGGATTTTTTTTGTTGCTGTTTTCCACAAAAACAAAAAACATCAAAGTTGTCACAACACATTTTATATGCAAATTCTTTTGGACAGTTCTGCAATTGCCAATTATCTACAAAGTATCTGCTAGTGAACAGATGCTGCCTTTATACCTTTGGCAGCTGTCAAGTGTTT